AAGGAGCAACATGCCTTGTCTATGATGCCGTCAATTTTCCCCTCTTCCACAGTCTTCTTGATGGTCTGAGCTGTTCCCACCACCGACTCAGAGATCTTCTTCGTGGCATTGGAGGCAAAACTGAAGATGTAATCTACAGACGGAGAAGGAAGAATGAGAAAATGGTGTGGTTGACAACAGCACCAGCCTGTGGGACTGTCACTGAAAACGAACACTGCACGATACGGTGAGAAAAAAAAAATACAAAATCACATTGGGATTATTTTGGCAAAAACTGTGATTGCGATATAATTCATGGTTAAAAAAAAAACCTATTAGAATTGTACTAATGAGATGTGTTCGCGGTTTTCTCAGATAACATTGCTATTAACTGTTCAGCCTTACTAAAAACGCTGCCAGAACATAAATACATGAGAAGACAACAACTCTTGCAGCCACATAACCCTCTGGTAGACAGACAGACAGATAGACAGACAGATAGATGATTAGACAGATAGACGACATTGATAGACAGACAGATAGACCAGACCAGAAGATAGACAGATAGACAGACAGACAGACTAACGTCGCGCTGAATAAAAGCAAATCCTCGAGACACCGAGAAGCCACTTTGCTAATTACCTAGCATGACGTTAAATGGACTTTTTTGTTAAAAACTACGGTTACATGTGTAAAATAGTTGTTTCTCACCGCCCAGCCCCTGGCCCTGCTCAGACTGCTCCTGGTTGGCCTCTGGTTCTCCTTCCTGCTCAGCTGCTTGCTGTTTGTTTACCTCGTTTTGTGCTTCCACCACCTTCTCCTCCTGCTCCACATTCACGCTTTCTTTGTCGTCCGGCGCCTTCGTGTACGTCGGGCTCTCCAAACCCAACCACGTCCCTAAACCTTTGAACATACTGCGCGGAATGAAATGAGTGTAGGAGGAAAACAACAACCTGAACAGAGGATGATTCTTCACTTCAAACCAGGAACTAAACCCGACAGGATTTCTTCTTCTCCGTTTGATTGTGTGCAGCTCGCGTTGTGTGTTCCCGCCACCCAGTGGTCGACGCGGTGTTAGTGATGCCTTCAGGTACACAGTGGGCTGCAGATGGATGCAGATGCAGAGGTGAGGTTTATAATGTAACTGACAAGAAGCGGAGAAGGAGTAGCTTTTAATTTAATTTTCTGTTGTTTATGAGGATGTATTCATTACGTTTGTATATACGGTTGTTGTTATTTTGTCATGTTGTTTTATGTTAAAAAAAATAAACATAAACAAACCCTACACACATCTGTAACGTTAAGTAAGTATAATGTCTCTATAAAGTGTATTTTTACATGTGGCATTATAGGAACGACCGTTACTTATTATACAAGACTCCACACAGTTCACCAGTAGGTGGCGGTAATGAGCCCGGAACTGTTGCACATCTTGGAACAAACAGACGAGGAGCAGGAAGACAGACCGACAGACAGTCGGTGGGCTGATGTTAAGGCGGGCTTGAGTCAGTTTTGCGGGTCGATTGCCTGTCTCAGTATGTTTTTATATGTGTTAGCCTGGCTCTAGACTGCTGTAGATAGCACTGTTATCCCCCGGAGCCTGATCTGAACTGCTGCGGCACAACTGAATAGGACGGATTAGCCGGGCTGCGAGGCCGTTGACTTGTAAGGAGACGGAGTTACACCAGACTTCTTTTAGAAAAGAAGCCACTTAAAGCATAGTGAGTTTAAACTTAACCTTTATAGGGGACATTAAATAACTCTCAACATACGAGGATTGATTTCGGTCTTGTGCTACAATCGGCCTATAAAGGAGAGCGCTTTGGTGAGAACTGGCAGTGGGATGATACAGTTTATCGCAGTCAGTCACAGTTCGTGCTGGTACAAGATAAGCTGCTGTAACACGCAGAACAGCTGATCATACAAGAAGATCATTTTAGTAACCAGACCCTAACGTCTCGCTCACCAGACTGTTACATAATAATCATTATTTAATTATTTCTCTTGTTTCTAAAATAACAAATGCTTCTTACTTCCTTCTCCAGGTGGAAAATGAAGACCCTGATGGTGTTTGATTTTGACCACACTGTGGTCGATGACAACAGTGACACTTGGGTGATTAGGTAAATGCTATATTGATTGATTCAGTTGATTAATCACTATAAAATCCATTACAATAATACATTTAGTATAGATCTTTACTGCTGCAAGATGTATGCAAATGAATAGGAGCACTACTAGGACACCACACTGCTAGGATCACTACAGTATAGGAAATATTTGATGCATTATTCTTTTAATTACAAGCAACATGAGCACTTAATCCACAGTGGATCTTCTTTGTTGTCTCTCGCCCCAGATGCCTTCCGGGTCAGACTCTTCCGGACTCTGTGAAGAATTCCTACAGAAAAGGCCACTGGACTGAGTTCATGGGCAGAGTGATGAACTACATAGGTGAGAATTCCTTATCCTGTCTGTAGGCCATCCACAGAGCTGCTCAAAATGTTTGTGCATGAGCATTTTATCGCTCCCTCCAACCTGCCTGTTCTTCCGTCTCCTGACCTTTTCTCTGTCTGTCCATCCAGGAGACCAGGAGGTCAGTCCAGACAGGGTCCGCAGTGTGATGGAGACCATCCCCTTCACAGCTGGAATGACGGACTTGCTGACATTCATATCGGAGCATAAAAGCACCATCGACTGCATAGTCATCTCTGACTCCAACACCATGTTCATAGACTGGATCCTCCGCGCATCCGGACTCCAGGCAGCCGTCGATCAGGTTTTCACCAACCCGGCTAAGTTCAACGAGCTCGGGTACATGGAGGTACAGTGCTACCACTCTCACGACTGCGACCGATGCCCCGTCAACCTCTGTAAGAAAAAGGTCCTGGAGCTGTATCTGTCGGAGCAGGCCGATGGAGGCGTGGAGTACGAGCGCATATTTTACGTGGGGGACGGTGGGAATGATCTCTGTCCTACTTCCTGTCTGAGGGGGCGTGACGTTGCCATGCCCAGGAAGGGGTTCACCCTGGAGAAACTGCTGGCCAGACTGGAAGGTCAGGAAGACAAGGCTTCTCTGAGAGCTAAAGTCATTGCCTGGAGCAGCGGCGCTGAAGTCCTGGAGGAACTGAAAGCAAGTATGCAGTCGTAGTCGCCGCCTATCAGCGATAACTCAGATACTGCACTTATGGCAAATATAGAGTCTGCACTGTAGAGGGAATATGCTGCTCCCCAGAATTGTTTCAAATTTAGTTTTTATTATCAAGACAGTATTTTTAATTTTTAAAGCGAAAATGTTGATGGTGGTATGATTTTCATGTAGTTACAAATCCTTTAAAATTGATGAGTCTTCTGCAGGAGCTTTTATCTCTGAAAACAGTAAGGACAACAAGGTTTCAGTGAGGTGGGACGGAGGCATCTGAGCCCAGTTACAATACAAATACATTACAAAAACAACATTTACGCATGCAGTGTGTGTTCGACAGTGGATCATAATTCAGATAAGGTTATATTTAGTATAATATTCAAGATCTGGTTGAGTGGAAAGAACGGGGACTGCTGCCCTAAAACTAACCGAGCCGGGCGTCTTTTAAAAGTGACAGTTTTGGAAAATATGCTCATTAACTTTCGTGCTTAGAGTTATACGAGAAGATTGATACCCCCTTCCTGTCTGTACACGAAATATATAAAGCTACAGTCAGCAGCCAATTAGCCTAGCTTAGCTTAGCATTAAGACTGGAAGCAGGCTGAAACAGCTAGCCTTGTTCTGTTCAAAGGTAAAGTAACTCCACCTACCAGCACCTAGAAAAAGAGAATTGAATTTTAGAATAACAGAAAATAAAATAAACCAATACATACTGTTATTTAAATGGATATACACATTTACACCCATGAAACAATGTTGCAGTGCATTTTTTAAATTTGCGTTTGTTTAAATTTCATCTTCACATAAAAAGAAACGGTGTCAAACAAACAAAAAACAAGAAAAAGAAGCAATCTTTTATTTAGCTTCACTGGTGCTGGTAGGTTTTTTGTTACCATTGGACCGAGCCAGGCTAGCTGTTTCCCCCTCCTTTCAGTCTTTGTGCTAAGCTAAGCTAATCGACTCCTCGCTCTATCTCCATATTTAGCTGACAGACATGATAGTAGTAATTGATCTTCTCATTTAACTCTGGTCAAGAGCAGATAAGAGTATGACTGCAGGCTAATTCCCAGGTATCAACTCTCAACCATGAAGCTCAGCTCGTGTTCATCAACCACACTGAAACACACCACATTTGTATCCACCCTGTCAGTACTTATTATCACAATATGTTCAGTAAGAGTTTATTAATGTCACTCATCACTTCAGTCAGGCGTGAAGCCTTGCAGTTTGCTTCACTAACACTATAAAACACACAAACACACTTTATGACTTTATTTATGTATTACCACTGTGGCAATAGTCCCTTTTTCACAGCAGACATTTTAGGAAAAGCACAGATGTAACTTAAAACATTAACTTTGGCTCTGTTGCGTTCAAGTGTCCCAGTAAGTCATTGAGAGTAACGTGCACAGTGCCAGGACCCTGAAACTGAAGCAGCTAAATGGGATTCAGCCATCGCTCATTCTATTCTTCACACCTGTGCTTTTCCTACTGCGACAAGACAAAACATCTTCAGTGAAAAAGGTGGATTATATTATAGCTACACTAGCTAGCTCAGGGCTGCAGCCACCACTCTGAATGCATACCACCTCATGATTAACTTACCTCAGTTGCAATATAATACAATATAAATTAAATGAATAAAGATTAAAGAAATTACAGTGTTTCCATTGTTGAAACGTTTTTTTCTATATGATTGAAAATGCAAACTGTCTTGCCTAATACACTTTTCATACTATGTCAAAGTTGTTTAATGTTACTTAGTCTTACATCTGAAAGTATAGCTTCGCTTCCAATAGTAAAAATAAGTTCAGTTGCTTACAACCCTAAACCGACACATAACTGAGCTAACAGGGTTTATTAGCTTATTATATTTAGTTCTTTAGACAATGTTTGCTACTCTGTGCCTGTGAACACATCTGCCCTTTAGTGATTTTAACTGATTTACATGTAAAGTCTGTGGTGTGTAGCCAGTTCCCTGAAGCTGTCTTGATTGTTTTCACCAGGTTTGGATTGATCTGGTGTTAACTGTCAGTTGACTCTGTTGAATGGCACAAACCATAACTATTTTTTAAAGCTAAATGAACAAAAATTCAGTTTTTCTACAATAGACCACAGATGTACTAAGTCCTGTGGATAATTTTCCTGAGTGAAATCCAGAAGCACTGTTTTAACATCCGTCCACGCTTTACACGTTTGAGAAGGTTCCAGTTTATTCAGTAATATTATCCAGATAACCAGGAAACTAAAGATAGTGTTGGATTCATCCTGGGACTTCATCCAGGTTTCGCATAGCTAGTTTATATCACTGGGATAGAGTACTGGGTTTCCAATTTCATGGAAACACATGCTTTAAGAGTTTTTTGTTGACACTGTCATGAGGCAACATGTGAAATGTTATGTTTGTTCTTAATCTTGTAATTCTAATGATGCAATTAAAACCAGAAACCTCTTGTATCCATGTTTTCTTTATGCACTGTTCACTGACTGCAACACAATGAAACAACAGTCTAACAGTTCAGTATTTAACTGGGATGGTGTGGTGTTGGATTGCATTATATTGTAAGATCTGTCTATAATTTTTGCATTCTATATATAAATGGAGTGGACAAAAGACCAGAAACTCCTAATGCAGCCCATTAGATGTCTAAAAGGGGCGTTGGAGCCATGCAGACTCTGTCACCACTACAGTATGTTGGCCCTTCATTAGTCGTGGAGAATAGTGCAGGTGTAACCTGCTGAGAAGTATCCAGTCAGTCTGTCAAAAACCTCTATGCTCCCAGCGCATGTTAGCAGGTGATGGCTGTAATGGACACAGTTTGCCAACTGAAAGAGGAAAAATGAGAGTGAGGATAATGGAAATATGAGAAAAACAGGTGTGATGTGTGTGTTTAGTGGAAAAATGTTGGATGGAGTTCAAAAAAGTATTTCTATTTTTTTAATTTTCAAGAAATGGTGAAATGTGATTACAGCATGTCCGCAGCCATGCAAGTGACTCTGTGAAGCTGTACTTTAAGCAAAATACTAACATCAGCATGCTAACATGCTCATAGTGACGGTGCTAATGTCATTGCTAGGCTGGTTATCACCATCTTAGTTTAGCTTGGTAGCATGCTATTATTTGCTAATTAGCCCTAAACACAAAGTACAGCTGAGCTTGATGGGAATGTCTTCTCATCTGTATGTATAGAGTATACATAAAGTAAAGACCTTTTTCACAGCAGCCATTTGGACATGAAATAGTGTTTTGTTCTGTGTCAACAAACAGCACCCTGACTCTGTTTGACCTACATGGTACAGAACCATAATTAACAGCTGTGTTTACCCTATTTATACGGTACCCTATTTCATGTCAAAATGGCTGCTGTGAAAAAGGTCTATTAGATAAATTGAAATGTTGACTTAATGATGGCACAAGGTGAAAAGATACAGGATGACCAACGTGTCTTCATCCCGAGGGTAACATAAATGTTTGAACCAAATTTCTGTGTAATTATTCCAACACCACATATGTCAACCTCATGGTGGCGCTGGAGGAAAAGCCACCAAAATCATCAGGATCCATTGTCTGGAAACCATGAATGTCTGAACTTGTGCCAATCCAGCAAAATATTTCACAGGATAAGTGAAATAGAAGAAAGTTCCGTCAGTAGGCTTCGTCCTCTGGAAACAATACAAATTAGTTAGTTATTGATGCCACTTATTATGTGCTGTTGCCTCAAAAACCTCCACCATTGGTAAACTGAAGAACTCTATTTTCAGATGGGCACATACATCCCGTGAAGATGCAAAAGATTCTTTCCCAAGACTGGCAGAAAAAAAACAAAAACATCACTAAAATTGGCACAAATGTAAAGGGATTTGAAGACGGATTTGGAGAGGGAGGCAGGCCAACAACTCAGAGAGACAGCTCTTCCCCAAGATCTAACCTAGTATTATGGTCCAAGACTCAACAGGCTTTGTTTGCTTCCTGAATTCACTCTTCAGTGGGAAGAAGCTTTAGATGAGGCTTGCTGTATTAAAGGAAGATGCTTAGTTGCATAAGTAGCAACTGGGCTCAACAGTGAGGCTGTCAGACTGGGATGCAAGTCTTGGAAGTTTGGACAAGTTTACACAGAAGCTTTGCTGTTCAGGCTAGAGAGAGGGCCCAGGGCTGGTGTCTGTGGATGACTGGAGCATTAATCCATCATATTGTGACCTGCTGCATGTATGTCACCATGGGGTAACTATAATCACTGTTTATGGGTAGTCACATACAGCATTACACTTGGATAAACCGGCTGTTTGTGTCTCCAACTCATACAGTGAGGCCACAAGAAGTTTTTATTACGTTGCTGTGGGTATTTTGGTCCACATATGTGTATAAGAACACACAAACTGAGTGCAAAACATTCTCACCTCTCTTCACATGCTCTCGAGGTTGCTGAAAGGCAGACACCATGAAGTATCTAACAGTGTAAACAGACATTTTAGAACATTTTAAGCAACCTCTTCTTCCCTGTTTGTGCAACTCCCCATAAACATTCATTAATTATGAGTACGGTAGTTACTTGCTTGTCATGGGCCAGTTGTGTGCCAAAGTCCACTGTAGCTTTTAGTTTCAGTAACAGTCAGACTCCCACAGTGTTAGTGTAGTTGCAGATTCCAACTCACTCTCTTCATCCTCCCTTTCCAAGTGCAAAGGAGAAACTATGGTGGCCACGAAACAAGCAGAAAAGACATTGACTGCCCCTATCTAGTGCCAGTGTCTGTTCTGTGCTACTGTAGAAACATGGTGGTTCAACATGGCGGCTTCATGGAAGGCGGCCCATGGCATCTGTAGATATAAAGAGCTCATTGTAAGGTAACGCAAACACAACACACACAATGGGTGATTATACACGAATGAAAACATACTGATGAATATTATA